GTATGTGTGTAAGTTGGATCATACAACATTTGGCCTGTCATAACTGACTTGTTTCATCTGTCTTGTAGTGTGTATGAAGACTACATTTCTGTTTATAACTTTATACTAATCATTGTGTGTATATATATCACATTTTGTGTTTTTCATTCATGTGTTGATAGACATTTAAGTTGTTTTTACCTTTTATTTAAGTAGTGCTTTAATGAACATTGACATCCAAGTATATAAGTATCTGCTTGTTTCATGCTTCCAGTTGTTTGAGTTTTAGACATATAATTGAAAAAGCTGGATCATGTGATAATTCTATGTTTCATTTTTGTGTGTATTGAGTGAAGGTGTACAGAGCCGATCATTAGTTTTACATGAAACAAATCCCACACATGGTCTCCTCTCTGTTGCAATCCCCTCAATGTAACATCAGTTATCCTCCTTCCTCCTCTATTGCTTGTTTCTCTTCAGCTTTCTTTTACTACCCATCTGAATTTCATCCTGAGGAAAAGTCGGCCATTTTGATCTTGAGTGGGTCACCATTCTGTAGTGTCTGTATGTACCTGATTCTGTCATATCCCCCTTTATATCTGTCTATTGTTGGGCTGAAAATTGAGTCAAAGCAATGAGTTCAGTTCCAGAAATACGGGGGACTGTGTGGCATTGCATGTTAATGCTCTGGACTGTAAAGTCATTTGAACTGAAACTTCAGTGATTCAAGCTCACCAGCTGCTCCTTGGAAACCCTATACAGGGATGTGATGTGTTGGAATTGACTCGACGGCATTTAACGACAACTACAGGGAAAGGGTGGAGAACCTGTATTCTGCCAATTTTGTAACATCATTCACAGACCATACAAAATTTTCAACTTAAAATTAGCCTGCCATTTTGATCAAATATTTAATTAATTCACCCTTAATTTGATGATTGGAGTCTTGGTGTGAAACGGTGGGGTAATGCACTAGACTGTGAAGTTGGTTTGTACTTCAGGGTCAGTGGCTCAAGGTCTCCAATTGCTCCTTGGAAACCTTATACAAGGTAATTCTGGGTCTGAACAGACTTGACATTACTTAGTAACAACAACAACAACAAATGTGATGACTGGAACTGAAGTTGCATTGGCAGGGCAGGGCAGGACTAAATGATTTCCTGGGCCTTATAAAACCCACTGCCCAATAATCCTCAGCTTTATTCTAAGGATATATTTACTTTGGAGTTCTACTAGTCTTAGACCAGTAAGCCTGATCTTTTTTATGATTTTCCATTTTGTTTCACATTTCCCTCCACTCTACCCAGGATCTTCTAATATGATCCCTTTCAGAACAATTGGTAGTTGTAGTCAGTCACCATCTAGTGTTTATAGTCTCATAGTCATGGATACTATTGTTCACATTGTTCATTATTCCATTGAAGTAATTTGTTTCTAAGCACCTTCATTTTTTGTCACTCTTCTTTCATCTGCACAGGAAGAGATCCTTCAGGTCTGGAAAGGAACTCATCCTTGTGACCCAGTTTTCAACCTATAACAGTAGATAGTATATAGTGGAGACAACAATACAAGTAGGTCACGCTCACCATGGAATGGTCAATCATTAAAAATCAAAGGGGCAACTTTACTTTAGGACAAAGTTAAAAAGGAATCAAAATGTGGGTGGAATGTAAATAAGAATAACAAGGAGGAAGCAGAATAATTGTTTTTCCATGGAGGGGATTTCAATTGCTGAGCTGAAACAAAGCGTATGATTTGCTGAATTTAAAACTGATGACCTTATCTGTAAACCTTTTTTCAATTCACAGTGAAAAGAACAAACAAACAAAAAATCTGATTTAGTTTCTTTAAAACCTACTTCCTTTTATTCTTCCTCTTCTTTCATTTCTCTTTCTTTCACCACTTTCTCTCTCTTGAGTTCTAAGCCATTTTTTATTCTTGCCTTATTTCTTCAACTTTTCTGGAGCACATCTTCTAATAACTTTATAAGAAAGGGTATATTAGAGGAAACCTGCTTGTGTCTTTTCCCTGAAAATATTCTTATTCTGCCTCCTCAGTTCATTAGTAGTTGGAATACTACATATGTGGTTTCATACATATTTTTAAGTACATCATACCTAGGCACATGCAAGGTTTACAGTATGTAGCTATTGTGACTAACCTATTGCAGCACTCTTTAAGAGAATTTGAGGATTTGTCTTTAGATAAAACATTTCCAGGTTTCATTGGAAATAATGCTAATTCTGTTTGTATTGGAATCCTTTGTGAATTGAGTATGTGAATTGTAGGCAGAAATATTTTTCCCTTAATATTTGAAGACATTGTTCCAGCACATTCCAGCAATGGTCAATCACTTTTTCCTATCTTTTTCTCTCTTAGAGGTTTATTATATGGTTTCTTATTGCCTTATATGCTTTCTGATGTTACTCTAAAACTCTTAAGAAAATTCTCTCTAACTATTCCTAAAGATCTTACATTTTATGAAAAATATTTTTCTCATGAGTTTTCTGATGAGCCTTTTTAATTTTGATATTTGTATTTTCTATTTCTGTGATTTTTCTTTAGTATATTAAGATTGTTAAATGCAATTGAGTCAGTTCCAATGCATAGCAACCTTGTATAGAATTTCTGGGGAATGGCTGGTAAATTTGAACTGCTAATGTTGCAGTATAAACTGACTTTGCAGTCCAGTACATTATCCCACAGTACCACACCAGGACTTTAAATTAATGTTAGTTGGGTTTTTCTTCCTATTTTATCTATACATTTATTCTAAAAACATTATTAGTTGGATACAGTTATTCCTGGATTGATTCTTTAAGAGCTTTATCTTTATCTATTTTGTTATTGTGTTTGTTCTCCTTTCTGGGAAATTTCCTTGACTTTGCTTTTTTCAATCCCTTCTTTGTATATGAAGGTTGTATTTTTAATAGGTGAAAACTATCTCATTAATTTTATGCTTTTTGTAGGCATCTTGTTCTGGATTTTAATAAAATAATTCACATGTCAATGGGTGTGTTATTTGTCCCTTTTTATATTTATCCCTACCTTACGTTATCCAGTTTCTTTCTCCATTTTAACTTGTTTGGCTTAGATTTTTACATTTGAGACTTCCCTAAATAATGTTACTGATGTGTGTCATTCAATTACTTCCAGCTCACAACAAGTCTATTTATGGTTTCTGAGGCTATAAATCTTTACTGGAGCAGAAAGCCTCAACTTTCTCCTAGTGAATGGCTGATGAATTTGAACTGCTGACCTTGGGGTTAGCAGCCCAAGGCATACCCCACTATGTTAGCTCTCTCTTCCTTCCATTATGTTTTTGTTATGTGCTGTCTAATTGGGTCCAATTTATAGCAATCTTTTGTAGTATTTTCAAAGCTATTAAATCTTCCTGGGAACAGAAAACCTCATCTTTGTTCCATGGAGTGACTAGCATGCTCCATCTGTGGACCTTGTGGCTTGTACTATGCTTATGGTATGAAGCCCCTATGCTCCCCCTTCAATTATATGCAGTTTGTATTTGAAAAAGTCACTTACAAAGCTCTAAGTAGCCATGAGCCACTGCCTTACATTTTGGTTTAGGAAAAAGGTTTGGTTACTAACCAAAAGAATTAGATTAAGCTATCTAATCAGGCATCAAATTGGTAAGGAATTCTGGTAGCGTAGTGGTTACCAGTTGGGCTGCTAACCTCAAGGTCAGCAGTTCAAAACTACCAACTGCCCCACAGGAGAATGCCGAGACCTTCTGTCCATAAAGATTTACAGCCTCAGAAACCCTACACAGGGTTGCTATGAGTTGGAACAAACTTTACAGTGCTCTATCACCACCCAACCTGTGGTACCTAGTACATGCAATACCTGAGACATAAAACAATATACCTTCTGTGATATTACACTCCAAAAGAGTTATTTTACCTTTCTAAGTTCTGCAAATTCAGCTACTTACTGATGAAGATGAAAGATTGCTGCTTTTTGTGTAGATTTGACCTCTTTGTAATGAAAATCTTCACAATTGGACAAATAAATAACTTCATGATAAATGAGAATAGTGAAGGTGTCAAAGACTTCATTTTGCTTGGATCTACAATTATCACCAACGGAAACCACAGTCAAGAAATCAAATGATATATGCATTATGTAAATCTGCTGCAAAAGCCCTCTTTAAAGTGCTAAAAAAAAACAAAGGTGTCAGTTTGAGGCCTAAGATGTGCCTGGCACAAGCATGGTATTTTTATTTGCCTCTTATGGATGTGAAAGTTGGCCAAAGAAAAAGGGAGACCCAAAAAGAATAGATGCATGTGAATTATGGTGTTGGTGAAGAACAGACTTCCACATACTGCCAGAGACAAGCAAATATGGCTTGGAAGAATAACAACCATAGTGTTCCTTAGATGTGAGGATGAATCTCATTCTTTGGACATGTTACCAGGAAGTGCCAGTCAATGCAGAAGGATATCATGCTTCATAAAGTGGAGGGTCAGCAAAAAAGAGTAAGACATCCAAAGAGAGGTGTTGACACCGTTGCAGCAACAGTGGATTGAAACATAACAACAATTCTGAGGATGAAGCAGGAACTGGGCAGTGTATCATTTTGTTGTGCATAGGGTCACTATGAATCAAAACTGACTAACAACTAACATGTCTCAAACTCACAAAAACAGAACAAACATCTTAACCAATATGAGTAGTGAAATACACGTTTAATGGTAATTTCTATTTTTCTCCCTTCTAGTTTATGTGAATATGTGTCTAGATTTTTTGACATTTATATTTTTCCTTTTATTTTTTGACTTTTCTACTCTTTGCCTATATTTCTCAAAATATTTTGAACTTTTTCTTAATGGTTTACAAGACCTCTTAATATATTGAGGATCCAAATCATTTGACATATCTTTTGTAGCTGATTGCTTACATTTTGAGAACCAAGAGCTTGCTTTTGTTCTGATAGAATTCTAATATGTATGTGGTTATCTTCATGTCTTTATCACTAATACACTTTTCCATGCCTCTTTTCTTAGGCAGATCCTTGCAGCAGCAAAAAGAGCAGATCAAGTGGGCCATTTTCTTTGGGTGGGATCAGACAGCTGGGGATCCAAAATTAACCCACTGCACCAGCATGCAGATATTGCAGAAGGCGCCATCACCATTCAACCCAAGAGAGCAACGGTCGAAGGTATGAATTTTGTCAACAGTATCACCTGCTCAGAGAGTAATTGGGTACCATGCTGGGTGGTGAAAGCAGGTATCTCTTTTAGGAATTGGTTGTTTTATGTAATTGATGCAAAGTCGTTTCAAACATGTAGTTGTGAATTTCAAGTGAGTCCACATGACTTGTCTGTCCATTTAGCTGATATTTTATATCTATCTTTTGAGTAAATCATGGTATTTTTTACTATAGTATCATAATTAGTATGCATTTAAAATTTTATGCTATTGGAGCTTTCTGAAAGCGAGATATTGTCATTGATAAGAAGCAAAATAATGAAACAATCCAAATACATGTAAGGGAGCTACATTTTCCAGGAGGAGATTTTTCCTTTGTAATTTATCCATTACTTTTCTATTAGGGATCCTTTGCCCCAGTTACTCTTCAAAGTGTCTTCCTGCATGATATGAGTATGATGACAAGACACACCATCTCTCAAGCACTGACATCACCTTACTTTTGCTCTTTTTTGTTTCAGCTTCCCTCAATCCCTTTTGTTTTTATTCTTTATTCCTCTGTAAAGAAGAAATCAATAAAACTTGCCTTCTTCACTTCAGCAAAGATTATTTTCAGAGATGTAAGGAGTAGAGGGTGTTTACTGCCATCCTTCTAATCTAACAAAAATTGCTGATTATGGTTTATGCTCTCCTTTAATTTGAAAAGAAAAGTGATTTCTAAATAAAGAATCTGTAAAAAAAAAAAAAAAAAAAATCAGAAGAGGAACTCCTCCACTGATATTCTACTTTGTTTTCTTTTTCTGATGGGCCCTGTCTCCAAAGATTCCTGCAAACATGCCTTTGCACATTAAAAAGAACTATATTCTCTCAAATAGGGGTCATATATTTGCCTTTCTTTCTTTTATGTCTCCACTGCAATCTAACTACTAATTATTCACCCCAGAAGACTCCATGGTCTTTGTAGGCTTTGGAGACAATTCATGTTGTATTTCTGTCATAGCTTCTTTTTCATGTTATCTGTGGGTGATAAAGATGCCAGGAATCACCCATGTATGTATTGGGAGGCTTTGAATTGATTTCAGTCTCCAGTACGTGTCTAGAGAAGGTTGCTATCTCACATCCCAGACCAATGTATGTGCTGACATTTTGCAAGAAGAATAGACAGAGTTTTAACTGTATGTATTCCTTTTGTTTGGCGTCCTGGTGTGGCGCTGTGGGTTAATACGCCGGACTGCAAAGCCATTTCAACTGTAAGGTTGGCAATTCAAGCTCACCAGCTGCTCTTTGGAAACTCTATACAGGCTCGCTATGGGTTGGCACAGACTCAATGGCACGTCACAACAACAACAACACAACTCATTTTGGTTAAAAAAATGTAGTCATCTCCTTTGTGTTAGAAGTCTGGAGCTAGGGGTGCATACAAAGTGTTCACCCTCAAAGAATACAGAGCTCAGTGAATGTGTCAGAAAGTAAGCAGTTATTATGTAGCATGAAGCACTGTAAATGGAGTATGGAATTGATCCATGGTAATCAAACAAATACCACTGAGTTTCACTCAGGAGGTGGTGGTGCTGTGCTAGGGGAAGACCCTTTAAAGGAGGTGGTGTGTGATGTGAGAATTCAGGCAGAGCTTGAGAAGGTCCCCAAAGAGGGAACACAGGAGTGAGATAACTGGGATCATTGAGAGCATGGCAGATCATAAATTACCAGACACTGTTCTGCACTCCAACCAAACTAAAATTCTTCCAGTTCTGTAAATGTTTTCTCATTTGCATAGCATCATGAATGCTCATCCTTCTTCTAAAGTTCTAGTCACCACACTGTCTAGTCCACTTTGTGTCTCCTCTGTGACTATTACATCCCACCCAAGTCTGGGTTGTTTATATTGTTAATTGGCATGAAGTAGATTCTTGTCATCCTCATGTTTGCAGAGTAAAATTCTTCTCTAGGGTTTTCAAGACTGTTACCTTTAGGCCTGCCTCCTAAGGCATTCCTGAGTGTGTTTGAAAAAACTTTTCAACTAGCTGTTGCATGCCTAACCATTTCAAACACCTTTAAATGCATAAAATAATTCTTTACTGATGACATCAATGACTGATCATTTGGCTTTCTGGTGTTAACATTTGGTGACCTTTGTAGGAAGGTGATACCTATTTTCTGTTGAGTCAGAAACAAGAGATAATTCATTTTGTTAGATTCCATCTGCTCAAAGTTGGATTGTGAAGATTTATGAAAACTCTACTAAAGAGTATTTCTTCACACTAACAAAGAAAGTTCTGAAATGAAATCAGGAAAGCAATACAGTTTACAATAGTAACTCAAAAGAGAAATTATGTAGGAATTAATCAAACCAGAGAAACAAAGACAACTACAAAGCACTACTACAAGAAACCAAAAGAGATCTATATAAATGGAAGAATGTGCCATGTTCAAGAATAGGATGAGTTAGCATTATGAAAATGTCAGCCCTGTAGAATGTGATGTACAGATGTAATGCAATCTCAGTCTATACAACAGCATCAAAGATAGAAAAAGTTTACATGGAAAGGAGAGACACATGGTATAAAAGAAAGAAACAAAAACAAGTTTGTCAAAATTGCTTGGTGGTGTACAGTAACAGAAACATAGATAAATGGAACAGAAATGAAACCCAGAAATCAATCCATCCATTAAATGGGGAAGAGATAGTCTCTTGGGAAAAAAGGGCTAATAAAACTCGATCTGTCACTTGGGAAAACAGAGCTAATAAAACTCGATCTGTGTTTGTAGAAGAATATACAAAACCTATATTTCATGTCATATAAAATATAGAATTTGACATGGATTAAAGATGGAAATATAAAAAACAGAACAATAAATACCATCAGTGGAAAAATAGGGACATGCTTGTTATTGTTAAGTGCTGTAAAGTTGCTTCTGACTCACTCATATTGACCACGTATAGGCTTTCTGAGGAGCAAATGGTAGGTTAGAACCACCCACCTTGTGGCTCAAACTGCTCAGTATCCTACAGTGCCACACCAGGATATTAATAGGATACAGATGAAGTTATTGAAGCCTGAGATCAGATATGCAGTACTGTTGTTCAGGTTTCTGGAGGAGCTCTGGTAGTGTAGTGGTTACGAATCGGGCTGCGAACCTCACGGTCAGCAGTTCGAAACTACCAGCTGTTCTGTGGGAGAAAGATGAGGCTTTCTGCTCCCGTAAAGATTTACAGCCTCGGAAACCCTGTACAGGGTCGCTATGAGCCGGAACCGACTCCACGACACATAACAACAACAATATGTGACATATGTTGTTGTTGTTAAGTGCCGTTGAGTCAGTTCCGACCCATAGGTACTGAAACAGTGTAAAGAGAATTCCACTCACTGGGAAAATTTTGTTGATAATGGCATATCAGAAAAGGGACTAATCCCTAAAATGTATAGAAAACTTTAACATCTCAATAAGGAAAAGACAATCCAGTTTTAAGTGGGCAGAAGACATGAACAGACACTTAACTGAATTCTCATGATCCTCAGCTGTCACAGAGAGCAAATTAAAATAAGGAGCTATCAGCTAACCCCAACATTAATAGCAAAGTACAAAAACACAGAAGACAAAAAGTTTTGGCCAGGACGTGGAGAGACGGGAACCCTCACATCCTTCTTGTAGGACTGTAAAATGGTGCAACCACTGTAGAACATGGTATGGCACGTCCTCTTAAAGTTAGAAATAGAAATGCCATGGGACCCACCAATCCCTCTCTTTGGCATATATTCTAGAGAACTAAGCCATGACACAGATAGATCTATGCACTCCTATGTTCAATGCAGCACTTTTAGCAATAGTCAAGTGATGGAAACAATTTAAATGCCCACTGTTAGAAGAACAAATAAACTTTGGTACATATACCCAGTGGAATACTATGCAACATTAAAGAATTGGGATGAATCTGAAGTACCTTATAACATGAAATAGTCTGGGGGTCATTATGCTGTTTGAAATAAGTCAATTACAAAAGTGACAAATACATTATAAAACCACTATTGTGAAGAGTCAAAAAGAAAAGATTGTCGCAACAAAGAAGACCTACTTTGATGATTACCAGGGGTGAGAACAGAGGGGAGTGTGGGTCATAGGCTGGAGGGTAGACAGGTATTAACTTGCATTAAGGAGAAAAATATTAAGGGGTAAAAATAAAAACACTAAAGAGTTTATACATTCTGAGTATCTAGGGAACATATGAGAATGTATATGGGATGTTATTAGAGGGCATGAAGAAGATAAGTCTGGTGACTACATTGAAGGGTGAAGTGTAAAAGTTGAATGCGACACAAATGCTAATAATATCATGTTCTCAACTACAGCTCTCTCTTCCTGAACTTTAGATGCTATATAGACATAATTTTCCATGCACCAATGATTTGTAGCTTTAGTTTCATGTTATTTTAGAGAATTACCAGTTATCCCCATGGCTTAATACATTTTTATACAAAATATTTTTTTCATGTATATATAAAATGAGCCAGTTGTCATCAGTTGATTCTGACTAATGACAACCTCATGTACTAGAGAGAAGTGCTGTACTCCACAAAATCAGATACAAACATCACCTTGACTCCGTCCAAAACTAAAAGACAAAATCCAAAAGCGGTGTCCCAAAACAATGAAATGAAGAAATGTTGTTATTTGTACAGAAGTACTGAAATAGTATTATTCTATATGAGCACAAAAATAACAATGCATTCTTTTAGGCCAAAATATTAGGAAGGTCCTTGTCCTAGGAAAGTAATTTTTATTGTCTTTTAACTTATGATTGTCTCTTTGACATTCAGAAAATGCTTGGTTTCTCTGTGGCTCTTTTGTTTATGTTTATTTTTGCAAAGATCAGCCATATTTCTTCTACTTCCATAACAAGTGGAACAGTGTGGCCATGCATTTCAACGCTATCCTCCTAAGGAACTAGAAAAAGAAATTCAGTCAGTCATGCTAAAGCTTCTGAACAAAAGTATGGAATATTAAAAATAA